AATGTAACTCATGCTCAAATGTTCAACATTCACATATAAAAGGGATCATACAAGCACAAGATAAGACAGATTTGAGCTTTTAACAAAAGAAACAACAAAATGTTATCCATGTAGAACGGCTTACCATGTTTGACATCAGCTAACCTGCCTAACTGGTTTTGCTTCACTTTACTTCATTGTTTATGATTTTTTGAAAACATGAGATATTTCGGTAGAATTAGAGCTTTTAAATAAATGTGGTTCTGTGCTCCCCTTTTGTCTTTATCTTTTTACCTGTATTTGTTTTTGTTTTGTTTTCTTTGCTCACTAGTCTTGACTCTCAGCTAATGAAGGATGGGAGTGACGTCCATGTGGTGTTTGTACACAGTGACTCTTTCGTGTGCAGTAAACACAATATAACCTTCCAACACCATCATCTCACAAACTGACCTCATTTTGACACGTGCGCCTGGTTCAGAAATGCAGCGCAGAATTTACGGTGGTTTCATGGGTGAATAGGATGTTTTAAAGAAGACTTATGGAGACATTTTTAAGTACTTTAATAGTAAATTACAGCTATATGTTTAGAAACTACACAAATAACACATCCTAGATCTGAAGCAATTAAATATTCTTATTGAATACTTTGTTCTGTAAAAAGTAGAATCTGCTAAGAACAAAAATCATCAAAGGAAATCAAACTTATCAACCAATGAAGGCCTGGAATAAGAGCAAGACACACAGGGTGGAGAACTACACTACAGCCTGATCCAACTTAATGTAATGTCTTTAAAACAGGTCAAAATGAGGCCCAGTATTTTGTTTGGCCTCCACCTGCCTGTATTACCTTCCTGCGATGTCTGGGCATGCTCCTGATGAGTTGTCAGATTGTTTCCTGAGGGATCTCGTCCCCTACCTGGACTACAACGTCCGCCAACTTCTTCACAGTCTGTGGTGCAACAGTTGGTGGATGGATCGAGACATGATGTCCCAGATGTGCTGAATTGGATTTCGGTCTGGAGAACAGGCAGGCCAGTCCATAGCTTCAATGCCTTCATCTTGCAAGAACTGTTGCATCTTGCAAGAACTGTTTCATCCACATGAGGACTAGCATTGTCCTGCATTAGGAGAACTGCACCAGCATATGGTCTCACAGAGGATCAGAGGATCTCATCTCGGTACCTAATGGGAGTCGTGCTACCTCTGGGGAGCACCTGAAGGCCTGTGTAGTTCTCAGAAGAAAGGCCAGTTCATACTATTACTGATCGGCTTGGACTGGTAATCTGGGACCGGTCCCAATTTTACTCTCCGGCCAAAGTACTTACCTGTCACAGTAAATAAGTCAAAAAGCTCGATTAGTAATACAATGTTAACTACTAAATGATGCATGCAGTATGTAGCCCTTCCTTGTCATGCACATCCTTGTGACGGTTGGCATAAGGTGTCATTTCCTATTTCTTCAAATCCTTGCAACAAACTAAATTATAATAAAACTAAAATGCTTTCTTTAAACCAAACCACAATGTTCCTTTTATATTTGGCGAATTTATGTTATAATATTTTGCAAAAATATGTTGCAGTGCATGATGGGGTTTTGCATCTAAAGGCTAATGTTTCCCGTCTTACGTGCGTTATTGCCAGGTTGGGATGTTTCCCAATCTGGCAGTTTAGAATGGCCGTCTACTGTATGGGTGAAAAAGATTTTTCTTTAGATTTATGGCCTAAGAGATCAATAGACTTTGGTTCAAATTGGGTTCAAATTTCGTATATCCAGGAATCAGTGACATCTGGCAACCCTGCTGGACATTACGCTGTAGCAGTCACTGTCGCGTCCGTGTTATTAACCATAGCCAAAAACCGCATTATAGAAGTCTCGCTGATGGTTGTCGTGTGATCCTTGAAGATAGATCAGTTAATTCACAATGTATATTCATATTGTTTCACATTTGAGATGTACACGTTTGACTGTACTTCTATTTTTTGCGTAGTGTCCAGAGATGCCTCCAGCCTCTAGATGCTACGCTGGCAGACACAGCAAACCTTCTTGCCACAGCTTGCATTGATGTGCCATCCTGGAACAGCTGAACTACCCAATCCACTTGTATGGGTTTTACCTTCCCTGTCATGCTACCATCAGTGTGAAAGCACCGCCAACATTCAAAAGTGACCAAAACATCAGCCAGAAATCATAGATACTGAGAACTGGTCTGTGGTTCTCACCCGCAGAACAATTCCTTGTCTTGGTAATTGCCAATAATTTTCACCTGTTGTCTATTCCATTTGCACACAACGTGTGTAATTGATTGTCAATCAGCGTGATTTCAGTATGATTTCACAGAAGTTTGTTTTAATTGATGTTATATTGTGTTGTTTACGTGTTCCCTTTATTTTTTGGGCAGTATATAAAAAATGTCTGTTATGGCTTTAATTTTTTTTTTTTAGAGCAAGTAAAAATAATATGGTTAAGTGAGGATCCAAACCCTCATAGCTCAGTTTGTGCATGATCAAGATGCTGCAAAAACATGGGAATGTGAATATATACCGTACATTGTTATTTAACTTGCATATTTTTTTTTAGGTGAAATTGCAAGTTCACCAAAAAACATGTTTAACCGCAAAATATTTTAGATTTTATTGAAAAAAGGACCAAAAATACTGGTACTTGCGTAATTCCTTGGGCAGTATTGTTGTTGTTTTCTGTCTCTCTGCATTATGCATCATAGAGGCATCTGCTTGTTGTGCAACTGTGCTGGTGAATCAAAACATGGTGCACAGTCACGTGGATCAGGTAAGAACTGCAAAAAGTTTGAGGATTCATCTCAGGATTTTAATTGGATTTTTCATAACATCCTATTTCAATTTGGAATCTTCAGAAAAATTGGTGTTATCACAATATTCTTTACTCACTAATATTTATATTTATATATTTTATACTGTTTACTTTGGCGATTATAAAATCTGAGATAGTTGCACTTTATTTTGGGATGAATTGTAACATTCTTTGATTATTATTTTATTCGATTTTGTTTTTTTGTTCATTAATGAGGCGAAAAAATAGGTTTCTTCCAGCTGGGGAATTTCCAGATTATCTAAATGTACAGAAATATATTTATCTTGAAAGTATGTTTCAACTAGACCTTTAAAGTTAGGTGTTAGAGAAGCATCCTGATCTGCTGCCCAAAAGATTTCAGCTGGCTCCTTTTGAGGTAGAGAAGCAGAGGCGTAGCCAGAAAATTCTTATGAGGGTGGCCAGACAATAACCAATGTACACTGAGGGGTGGCCCAAAGTAGATAGGCACAAAACCTCACGGTGAAATTTATCTTATGTTGCTCACGTTAACTTACTTTTTCTGTTTCTATATATCCTTCGTTTTCACGTAGTTTTTTAAAAAATGAAATTAAAACGTAAAAAATAAATATGGTTGATTTTACCTTGCTCTCCCACGGCCGTCATTTTGACGGTTCTATTAGTTGCATTATAAATTCTTCCCGCGGTTGATTGACGTTCGGTAATGTTGCCTAGCAACGAACATTCTACGAAGAACTCTTGGCTAATACGGAAAAATGGCTTTTAGAAGAAATCTAACAGCGAAACAGGCTTTAGAAATCCTTCAAAATATTGATGATAGCGATTCGGGCGGAGGGGGAGGGACCAATGAGCAGGACTGGGTAGGAAGCGGCTCAGATTCTGACAGCGAGTCTGAGGATGATCACCACCCACGGGAAAATGCAGACGTATCAGTGACCCATCAGACAATAGTAAAACTTTTGTTCAAGCACTGTCCACACCTAAGCCGGTCCACATAGACCCAAAAGCCAAACCAGAGCCCGTAGTCGACTATAACCACACGCAGGTCTGGGTGGATGTGTCGGATCAGATGATTAGAAAGGATTCTGTAAAAGCTCCAACGCGAAGGTGGCCTGTAGCTGTAATTTATGATCTCCTGGAAATATCAGCTATAAACGCCTTGGTTTTGTCCAGGAGCTGTTTAACTGTCACTTTTTCACGTAGAGATTTTATCCTTGAACTGGCAAAACAGTTGCGGGCAAACCGCAGGTTTCCAGCCCCTTTTGGCGAGGCACAGAAAACAGCACCAGGTGCTTCAGCGCTGCACAAAAAAAACACTTATATTACGTTTGTCATAAATGTGAAAAGTGGTCTGCGGGAAATGTTTGGGAGGAATCAATACATTTCTGTAAATAAAATGGTAATTTCGAACTTTGAACCTGTGTAGTAAAACAGTCTGACTCTATGGATTTATTTTGAATATAAATTTAGAACAGAAATAATAATAGCGTACAATACGGCCTTTGAAAAATATATATTAGACCCATTTTAAGGTTTACGTATCCACAATGGGTTTATATCGCACACTTGAACTATCTCAGTTGATGACATCATCACTACTTGTACGTTCCATTGGGGAAAAATGTCACCCGTCAAACTGACGGTCAGTGGGAGTTCTAGTAGGATCAGAATTTCCGGAGTCCAAGTGTTAATAAATGAAACATTTTTATGTTTTGAATATTCCACTTGAGAGTATTACTGTTGCCACCATCTGTATTAGAGAGAAATAAATGGTAGGGGTGGCCAATGATTGGCTAAGGGTGGCCATGGCCACCCCTGGCCCCCCATCTAGCTCCGCCCCTGTGGAGAAGTAATGACTGTACTACAGCTACAGCTCCTCTGGATGGAGGGCATCTCCTAATCTGTCTCCAGCAAAGGTTATTTCTGGTGCTGGTTTTTTCAGAATTATTTATGAAAGAGATAAATATAATTCTAAAAGGAAACTTGATCTAGAATCAACAAATCTTGTCGTGTTTGAGTCTTCAACCCCATTCACTTTTGATAAACATAAACATTTACCAAAAGCTGAGCTAAACAGACAGATTCTTTTTAAGTCTGTCCCCCTTTTCATATACAGCTGATAAACATTCAGGCATCAAACTAACCATAAATTCACACATTATTTTATTCTAACATATAGCTTTTATTGGGTTCAGTAATTATCTGCTTCCTAAACAAATCAGGTGTTACACATGAGAAAAAATAACTTTTTAAATGGAGTAAAAGTTTGACTTCGTTCTTTTTTGCAGAATGAAAGAAATAAAATGGAAAAGCAAACATCAAAGGTTGTCAGCACAAAATCTTAAGAAATTCATTCCCAGATTTATGCTTCTCAGAGGCATTTGTTTTGGTGATGGGAGGATTCTGCAGGATTTTCTTCCTCACCTTCATAGTCCGCTGTCACTCTGCAATGGAAAAAAAAGTCACATGTTTATTTCTGCTGTCGACAGGGAGTAAGTTTGCAGCCAATCTTGGAAACTGTTAATAAATGTGAGCTTGGTGTTAATGTGTAGACCTTTGATGGTGCGGTTCAAACATGAATGTGTTGACAGTTAACGATCATGTCACCACTGTAAGACATCACTGCGTGACGTTTTAGAAACTAATGTCAGCCAGAGCTGAAAGATTGCTGTTAATCTTGAAGCAGTACAGACAATATTTGACTTTACATGTTTTGTCAAGGTTACAAAATGACTAATAATAAATCCTTCACAAGAGTTTGTTCTCTGCCGATATTTAAACATAAATAAATTGAATTTTTCTTTATATCAATTAATTAAAAAGGTTTCTAATTATTAAGCTTAAGATATTTTGCCTTTGATGATGAATGGAAGGAGTGCCTTTTAAAAATGCTCAGCAACAACATGCAGCAACAAATCTTCTAATAAAAACACCCTTATTTTAATTATTTCAAAAAATAACACCAGTAGAGACTCATAATAAAAACTCCAGCTGAGTTCTATAAACTTTGAACAATCAACTGGAAAATACCATAGTGACAATCAGACAAAATGACCACTTTTGTCTACAGTGTCTTTACATTCTCTATAAAAGCTTAAATGAAGAAAACAAGCAAGTTTTCACTTTATATGGTAATATATGATCTTCAGGTGTATCTGTTAGAGGTTTACTTCCCAAACTTTGAATATTACTGTCTGTCAACCTTTCTTCTTTATGTGCCAATTTCCTTACTAATTACTTAAAATAAAGGCCCCCAGAACTAAACATTTGTTAAATAAAAAAAAAAAAAAAAAAAAAAAAAAAAAAAAACTGCTCCAGTTAATTTCAACAACTTATATTTGGTCTATCACAGCTTAAACGAATATTCAGATAGCATCTATCCAAAGCGTACTGTATGCCTAGGCATTCATAGCAAAAATCCTTGACATTGACCTGGGGTGCCCATTTACACACAAATGAACTTGCCTCATTCAAAATAAATTGATCCAATCAAGCTTTTACATGCCCGGCGATCAGATCATGAATCGACACAAACTGGCCTTTTCAGTTATGTTGCACTTTCATCCTGATTGTGTTAAATTTGATCAGAATATTCTGATTAGAATATTTTACATGACACAATCTTAATCCAATCAGCCGTTTATTCTGATTACCTGTCCATGTAAACGTAGCTAGATTGATCCTAAACAGGCCATTATACAGTTTAATCTATTAATCAGTTTAATATTTGGACCAGAAAAATGCATGGAAATGCTATTTTTCTTAAACCTGCGTAAGTTGTAGTCTACCTAAGGTGAACTAGAGAGAGAAAAATTAAAGGTCAGCATTAGGTAACCAACTTTAAACAAACCCAAGGACCCTTTGACTCCATTTGGACATTATATTTTATACTGTTTAAACCTCATTTTCAAGTTGTTGTTTTTTTTTTTTTTTATCTGGTCAAATATGTTTCTCTACTAGCAACAACCTTACAAGTAACCTTATATTGCATCACATAGCTTAGGGTTTTTCATAAAATATCGAAATAAAAAAGCAGTATTACATTTTTAAGAGAAACAAAATTGTTATGAAGAGTGATAAACTGGAGTTAGCTTATTCACTTCTGTTCAGAATTAAACAGAATTGTTTACTTTATTGTTTACCATAGTATACTTAAAGTATACTTTAGTAAACAATAAAGTAAACAATAGTATAGTCAAGTACACTTGACTATACTATTGTTAAGTCAACTCTAAGTGCACTGGCTGATTTTAAGTATGAAATTAGTGCACTTTTAGTATACTTGAATAACTTTTGCAAAGGGTTTCTGTAAACCTCCACTTCTTAATAGTTTTAAAAATGTCTGTCTGTTGCATTTGCTCATGTTACATTAAATTTTGAAATAAAGAGAAAAATGGTTTGAAGTGTTGGAGGTTTATTTTACAAACCAAACCTCCAAATTCAACATAGCAGCTAAGTTATCGTGGTAGCAGTACTAATAATTCCCCTGTAAACTCCAAACTGAATGTTACTAAAAAAAAAAAAAAAAAACTGTTTGTGTAAGATTTTTAATTTATTTTTAATTACTGGTTTCTTAAAGTAGCACAACATTAAGTCAATCAGTTAGCAAGCCCTGTTTTTCGGATGCTACTGGAAGTTAATTGGAGCACCTTTTTAAGATTTATTTCTAACATATTAATGCAATGTTATTTAGTTTTTTTCTGCATAATTACAAGGTTTGGGGCAAACTAATGTAATGCTTATTGTCAAAACAAGCTAGAATGTTTGACAATGCTAATAGTGGTTTTAGAAGTTTGGGGCTCAACACAGCACTTCATATATTATAAACATACTGTATTTATGGGACACAGATCTGCTCTTTCTTTACTTGTTTATGTATTTTTTTTTCATTTATTTATCTAATCATCAATTATAAAAAACTTACATAATGTTAAAGGACAATATTCCTGGTTACTTATATTTCTACTTACTGTTTTGGTATTAATAGAATTACAATACTTTGCTGTTTTTTTTTTTTTTACAAGTTAACTAACACTTTTTTACCAAAATACTTTTTTCTTAAAAAATAAACCATTTTCCTGACATAAACATACATAATTTAAATTTTTTTAAAAAGTTTGAAGAGTATAATTTCTTGCTTAACCGATTAAATTCTATTTCTAGTTAAATTTTATGCAAAAATTGTTGATGTAGGTTTTAATTTAGAAGAACTTTAATTCATTATATCAAACTAAGAGGATGAAAGGTGGTGTATGTTGACTATTTAGAAGTCAATATGTGTAAAATACAGTTAGATTCCCTTCAGCATGCATTTGATAAGAACTTAAAACTTTAATCACAACAGCAACAGAGAAACACAATAACTTTGCTGATTCACTGTTATACATACAATATAAAAATGTGGAAAATGATGCTGAAGATCCTTGCCTTTTAAAACTTTCCATAGTCTCTGACTCAGAAATATTTTAAGTAAAAAGGAGATGTTAAATAGTTAATTTAGTCTGTTTTTTTTTATAAGAATTTTGCCTCTGCACAGATTCCACCTACATCATGGCTCTCCCGACAGTCACCGCAGATGCATCCCACACAGCCGTTGATCACCTGGATGGCACAGAGCAAGACCTGCAGCACACCCATGCCCAGCAGTATGGAGAACAGCACAATGTGCCACAATACAATATCTTTAGGGTATTCACAGATTTTCCAAAGGGTCTGATTCCCAAGGTAGCTGGAATTAGTCCTGTGAAAGAGAGCAGATTGTTTATTAGGACACATTTCACAGATCTAAGTTTGTGTAACAACCTATATGAAAGATTTTTGCTTTTTAGGTTGATCAACAGCTAACAAAAATGTACACATATACTGTTTGTATATTTAGATGAAAACAACTGTGCTGTTGCAGACACAAAAACATTGGGGATATAGTGATTGTTGAGAATTGCAGCCTCTGTTGCTGATTATTGCCCAGTTAACCACTACAGGGCTTCGGTCAGTAAGCATGCTGGTCATCAGAAGTTTATGAAGGTTAACTGAAGATCGTTGCATGCCATGACATAACAGAGCAGTTTATCATTAGTTACTGCTGCACTGCAAGAAACAGTAAACAGACTGGGTAAAGTACTAAGCAGGAAAAGAAAGCTGAACAAAATATTTCAAAACAAAAGATCCACTTCAAAATAAAGGCATGAACAACGCCTTAATAGGTGTTTACATTGAACCGCTTAAAGAATTATAAACAGTGATGTTATTAACACCGAAATGCACATTTGTCGTATTTTACTTATGATATCAGATTCAATACAAATAGGTAAATTTTTGCAGCATGAAAAAAAAAAAAAAAGTTGTGAAACAGCCATTTTCTTTTTTGCTAAAGGTCTTTGGAATTGAGTTTGAATATCACTGATGTTCAGGCAAATCATATTACCTGAGGTCTTCTTAAAACTCCTTTCGAAAGAAATTAGAGTGAGAGACAGTAGAGATCTGTATTTATTCTACTCTGGTCTGTACTTACAGTATCTGTTAATTCTGCATAACTTTAAGCCTGAATATTTTTTTCTGTATTTTTCCTTCTGTATGGACTTGCATTTAGTTTGGCTATAATAAGTATTGAAAGATAAATACACAGACAGAGAGACCTTATGATCAAGAACTCAGTGGCACAAACACAAGTAGCATGATCCTGACTGTGGCTCGTTTATCACCAGTAACCAGTATTTTTTAAGAGTTAGATCAAAGTCCAGCACTCTGCACACTGATAACACTGAAAGGCATTTCTTTTCTATAGGAGACACACATTTACAAGTTCTATTAATGAATAATTTTTATTATATGATAAAAAGGCCATAGAATAACAAATACGATTTCCTAAGCTGTATCTGGCGCATTTTTAAAAAGGTCTTTTAGATAAGGTCAGTACAAATTGTTTATCAGTCACTGAAAACAGCTGTTGTAGTCTTTAAGTATGAGTTATTCCCTTATTTATGTTCCCCATAAAAGAAACAAACATATTTAAAATAATTTATTGCAACTGCATTACCTAATAATTACAAAATAAAAAAAAAAAGATTTAACTTTTTGATGTTCCTGCTGTTAAACTGCCAAGAGGAAAAAAACTTTTCCCAAAGTGGGGGTTGAAAGAGAGAAGGATTTTCTGCCTTTTTCTCCTTGCATAGTCTCCATTGATCACCCAGAGTCCTCTTACCTTCCTTATGCTCTATTCTCTTCATATTACCCCACAAAGTGGTGGATGTGAGCTTAGAAAGAAGGTTTTGGATTGTCTAAACCATAGCAGGACTCATTTGGCCGCATGTTAAATATCGTCACCCAATACTGACCCCATAATGCCACCTAACATTGATTTAAGATGTCTCATTAGTGGTATAAATTATAATGTTCCCCTTATCTTATAAATGGGAAATAGACCCACAGAATCACAGATTTTCCACAATACTTAATAGGTGTTTTAATGCTAGACCTGTTGCTCAAAATTTCAATAGCAGCCTATGTAAAGCCCATAAGTTCTACATAAAAGTCAGTGGGAATAAAGGAACTCCACATATGTTTATTATGATAGAACTGAAATGGCCGAGGGTCTGATTGTTGGTATTTAGATTTGTTGACCACTAGTTTGCTAGTCTCTAATAAAGCTCTTTAACATTTTTTTTTATCTCTCTTACCATGCTCATTATTGAACATAAGATCAAGATAAACTTGGGTCTTTGTATGGTACAATTATACCTATATAATCATTATTTTTTAATGCAGTCAGTTTTATACCTTTAGCCACAAACTTCAAAATGTGTTTTGCTGTGTAGAAGTGGTTAAGTTATGCAGGTGGTTTTGGTAAAAAAAAAAAAAAGTAATTTCTTCTGCACTGCTTCAACAAAACGCAGACTCATTTTCAGAGCATTTAAAGATGCTAATGTATGTGAAGAGATCCAAAATGAAACCACAAGAGTTTAGTCTCATTTTCTGTAATCAGTGCTGACAAACAACATGTCTTGTGATCAGAGAGAATCGGTTCTTGTTTTTCTTGTTGTCCTTTTATGATTCATAAAAACACTGTTTGCAGTGAGAAGGATCATATGTAGGTTTAACCAGAAAACACAGAAAGAGGAAACTGGGGTTTTCTGCAGGAAGCACAACTAGGGGCTACATTTTAATATCCCTTCATAAATTGTGTAATAAAGGTTACTTCCCTCCCTGTTAACAGTGACTCCCTGTTAACATCTAATAGGCTCACTTCAAATTTACAACATGTTCATTTTTGTTTGATAGTTTAATCTCCTGATCAGTGGTGATTAATAATACTTGCGTAATCACTTTATTTCTGGGTGGGTGTTTTATTAAACCCTACTTTAATGGTCCCAGTTCTTCAGCGACACTGTGATAAACTTTATTCAAGTTTATTCCAAATATAGTTATCCTACAAATATAGGCAGTTTACTTGATATTTACAGTAACTGCTTTTTATATACTTAAGAATAGTATAAAAGAGTATACTTGTACTGAAAAGTATAAATATAAGTCTAAGAGCAAGTACCTTCATTCTAAGATTTAAGCTTATACTTAAATACTAAAGCTTATTTTGAATTGGTATACTTTACTTATTTCTACTGATACTTAAAATATCTAGATCTAAGTATGAGAGAAGGAAGGTATATAAATAGTAAAGTCGTAAAGTATGAACCACAAGCATAAATATTTTACAATAGTTGTATAAATATGTGTGTACTTGCTTTATACTTGAATCCTTCATTTGACTATGTAAGAGTATAATTTTTTGACTTAAAACTGTCTTAATTTTGTACCCTACAAGTAAATGGTGCATTACATAATTGCTATACTTAAAATTATTTTCAAATATACTAACAACATCAACTTTAAACTACTTTTTTTGCTAAGGTAGGGGAAACAAAGTTTGGATTTTGAATAGATGTCGGTTAAAAAAAACATAGTGTTGACTTGGTGTGCCCCCTTCTGGATATTAACGGTATTGCATTTATGGTTCTTTCCAAGAACAGCTGCATGGATTTTTTTTTTTTTTTTTTTTGCCAAAATAAGAAAATATCCTACATTTAAAAAAAATAAATAAATTTGAGAAATAAAAGTCATGAAAAATTCATTTCTGACACAAAAGTCACTCGATAGAACTGAAACAGTTTTTTTTTTTATAATGATTATAATACAACCACTAAGATAAAAGAAGAAGGAAAACTGAAAATAGAAATTACGCTTTGCTTTCATCAGAGCATCAAAGTTTCAGTTCAACCATCATCATTGATAATGCATGTGCACCAGCAGGATGGGGAAAACACTCACAAGCCTGTGTCCTCAAAGGGATATTTCCATTCGTCATTAACCAAACACTTTGGTCCAACCACCAATGCAGCTAAGGCCACACCGGTGCAGTAGGCCGCCCCAACGAGACCGAGGACAGATGAAAAAACTGAGTTTAGCATCTGTAAGAGACAAGAGATAATCATAAAATAAACTTTGTATTGAAGCCTGTTATTATTTTTCACATTACTTGAATTTTCATTTTCTGTCTTGGCCTAAGGGTTTTGTAAAATCAGTGCAAAGATACGTGGAACAACACATTTCCCATTTAATCAGGTTTGTTAACTGGAGAGATTAAATTCAATTGCACATAAAGTAAAGTAGTTTGTAGATCAGGATTCAATAAAAACCCGGCTCTTATTAGTTTCAGAAAAAATTTTTATTAACCTGTGAAGGTCCAACAGTGTGGGCGTATTGTTTGCATTGTTTACTTTGTGGATCTCCCAACTTGATTTATCCAATCAGGTGCAACAATTGTACTGAATGTCCCTCCCTTTTGCAAATATTTTCTGCAAAAGGCTTTCCAGATGGATAATGTGTAGAATTCAAATTAAACTACACTTATTATTCAGGCTTATGCCAGGTTAGAGGGGAGCAGGGAGGACCCTCTGGTTAAAAGGCGTTGTCCTTCTAATGGTCCAGAGCCACAAAAGAGAGCCTAGATAACAGCTCTTGTAGAGCATCATCAAAATGTCAGTAAAATCCCTGGGATGTTACTAAATGACATCATGGACCATCCAATTTGAAAATGAAGTGGTAAGCGAAGCTAATAAAAGTCTTGGTGGATCCTAAGTTTAAGATCCTCCTTTTAAGCAGTGGTGGACAAGGTACTCAACTATAATACGGTCAAACATCTACTCAGGTTAAAGTATTGAAATACTTACTTTTTAAAATATCTAAATATTCAAAAGTGCATGCATTTAAGTATTCAAAGAACATATGTAATTTTCTAATATCAGTACATTTCTGTGTAATTTTCAGAGTAATTTAAGAGAAAATGTAATTTTTAGAAACCACCTGATGTATTGACCCATAAAACCACCTTGCTACAAATTCTACACCACCTGTAAATAATTTCAGCATAAAAATGCCACAAAAAATAAGGACAGGAATTTGATTATTATGTTTTATTCAAAAAGAAAACTAGAGATGGAATCTATTAATAAACAGAAACTACATCTCTGTATTGAGAACTCGTCGTACTGAACAACTTGGCCACTTGGACACGACTAACATCTTCATAAAATTATAAAGTACAGATAATATCTGCTCTGTGAT